TAGAGAGAATGCAGCTTTAAGACACATTTGCACTGACTTCACTCATCAGAACCGGAGGTTGCTGCCTTGTCCAGAAACAAACGCATTACTTGAAGCTTGACAAGATTCTCTCTTGATCTCGAGAGAATCGGGCCGTTCAAGACACGATCTGAACCTCTGATCCTGGACTGGCGCTGTCACTTCCAATGAATGAGAAGTAACGTGTAGTTTGTTTGTAAAATGTGGTTATGTTCACTGGTGGTGCCGCCAACACCTCACTTCAGTAACAGATTAACAGAACAGTAAGGCTGCTGAATTTTTAACGAGGCATCTGCGGTGTTGAACCCGAAACGCTTCCACACATTACTTCTCAGACGGCTTGGTGTCGTGCTCATCTGTTCAGCACTGCTCGCCTGTTTTCTACATCTTGTGGTAACAGAGAAGAACAAGAGTGCAGTTTACCGACGGGACAACAACAGATCAGTACCACGGATTCATTTTAGAAATGCTTTTTCACAAAATCTGCAACAAAAGAAACAGAAATAGGAGAAACATTAGTGAGACCGTCACAAATCAAAAACTAAATCCCACAATGCACCAGCAGGACAAACTGAACCACCACTGACAGACTATAAACCAACAACACAGGAGAGGTGGACCTGCTCACCCTGCAGCTGGGAGACACAGGCGGTTGTCAGAGAGTTTAAAAGAATAAAAGGAAGGATCTACCCCCGCCACAATAAGAGTCTCAGCTCACTGTGGCTCTTTCATCAGGCTGCTCAGAGATAAGGAGGCCACAGACGAGGCAACAATGAGACATGCTTACCTCCATACACTTCTATAACCGAGACCGGCTAACAGCTTAACACACACACACACACACACACACACACACGCACGCAGTCCTGACAGACACACACACACACACACACACACACACACACACGCACACACACGCACACGCACACGCACACACACGCCATCAACTCTGCAGCACCATAAGGATGCAGCTCTGGGCTTTTACAGCACATTTACTGTCCGGTTTGGTCCCAGTTTTCCAGCAATACGAGCTCCGATAAACCTGCCGACACAATCCAGCCTGTGTGAGTGCAGCGGTACACGAGTTCAGTGTGTTTGACCAATCAGCAACGGCCATCTCTGCAAACCCCAGCCTGAAACCTCCTGCACTTTCACAAAGTACTCGATGATGCAGAAGAATCTTGCACACTGAAGTTTTATGAACAAATAAAAAACAACATGACGGTCGACCAGACAGAGAAACTCAATTTAAAGCTTCAGAGTATTTTTTAAATCCATGGAATAGATTTTATATCATATTTACTGAAGCTGACGTCATCCGGCGTCTCATTGAAACCTGAGTTTATTTGTCAAAAAAGGGATTCTGTGTCTGAACGGCACATTGAGTGCCAAATACATTCGTTCTGCATTTTGCAGACCACCAGTACATCCAACTCAGTCTCATGGCAGCAATAGTCTTGAAGGTTTTGGTAACAAAACCACATAATTAGCTTTAGGAAAACTGTTACCAAAGTTAGGTTGAGGCAACAAAACAACTACCGTGAAACCACAGCGCGGTGTCGAAACATATTCTGTCTCCCGGTTGAACATCCTGTTTGTTGGACCCGTCCAGCTCACCAACACTCGTCTTTCTGGATATTATAAACTACGTCCCATATAAAAATAATGAATTCATCATTAACACGTAAAAAACCTAAAAACAGACAATTCATGTCCCAGTCCATTGCATTCGTGATTATTTCACAACCTTCCATGATACTGTGCCGATATATAATGATTAATCACAATAAATGTAGACAACTTCTGCTAGAAATACACAAAAAGATGGTTTCCTGCTGTGACTGACAGGTTGCTGGTTCTATTCCTTGTAGCATTACTGCCCTTTAAAGTACAACAGCTCTGAACTCACTTCTACATGTGAACCAGCAGCCGCTCAGACCTCATCCAGGAACAATCGAACAGCTGATGCACACAGACACACAGACGCTGGAGCGTTACCTTCAATGACAGTCTTCAGGATGAAGTTGTCAGACGCCAACGACACCAGCGGGCCTTTACGGACCACTTTCCCCTGGAGAGATATAAAAAAACAAAACACTTAAGACACAAACTGGAAAGCACTTCAGATCCCACTGCAGAGTCTCACTGAGGAGCCTGTCAGCTGATCAAAGCCCCGGCAGAGAAGTGAGCGGCGTTGATGAGCGCCTCGGAGGAGTGAGCCGCGAGGCAGAAGGTGGATTATTCCAGAGAACGAGAAAATAGCCTTGTGTGAAAAACAAACTGGTGAAGAGGTTGTGGCAGGTGACAGATAGATGAAAAAGGAATCCTGAGAAGAAGAGAAGACCTCTGACAATCAGTGAAGGAAACTAACATTTGTGGGGTTTTTCTTCCATTTGTTTTTCTCCAAATCAACTCTTGGGCTTCATCCGACAGTTTGGTATTGTCCCTGAACTGGCCCGTCTTTGTGGTATTACGTATATACTCGGCAAACGGTCGGGAGGTTCATTCAAATGAAGCAGCGCGACAGCGAGTGAGCTGTTGGCATTTTCTCTCGTGAACATTGGCTCTCACATCGTCAGGATCCAGAGGCTGTACGCCTCTCTGAGAACACCTGCGAACTCTGCACGGCAGCGTTCAAACCTACAAGCTTCTATTCAATTCAATGTATTTGTATCGGCCAAAAGCACACATTTGCCTCAGAGGGCTTTACAGTCTGTACAGTGTTGGACCTCCTCTGTCCCGGGACCTGTATTCTGCAGAAACACTGTTGTGCTCCTCGTGTGTGGCTGAAGCTTTAGATCTGAGTCGATGGAACACACAAACTTCATTCCTGAAGGTAAAGAGTGTAGATGGAGAAGTAGTGGATGAAGTACTCAGGTCTTGTACATAAGTAAACGTAGCAATACTCTGTCAAAAGAGCAATAATATTAATAAAAGTATAACTTTTCCACATTTAAAGGTCTAAAAACGACTAGACCTAATGTAAACTACATTATCGGATTACATAAAGTTCATCTTAATTCATAATAATAATAATAAAGTAGCAGAAAATGGAAGTACTCAAAGTGAAAGTACCACTAAAGTGTACGGTGTACATTGCAGGTCGCTGTAAACAAACCTTGACTGTTTTGTCGGAGTAGTCTGTGTTGGTGCCGATGAGCGAGATGGGAACGCTGGTCAGGTGTGCTGGTACCTGGGCGCCTGGCCCCGCCCCCTCCAGCATCACTCGCTGAGGCATGGCGTCACCTGAGGGACATGAACAGAAAGATGAATATCTGTACCAACAACCTGTGTGAGAGTTCAGTCTCTGGTCCTATTCCAGGTTCATCTGGTTCCGTTTCAACCTGAGATCTCTGGAGGGTTTTTGCTTTTCATTTTTTTTTAGGTCTTTTGGTTTCAGGTCCAGTCGGATCGTCCTCCACCGCAGACGACTCATTACCAGCATAAACCCTCCGACAGGAAACACCCAGATCCGTGTGGACAGCGCGGCGGGAGGGTTAGAGTCTGCGAGGCGGTAACACAGAGGAACCCAGGAAAGTGCTGGCCGTGCTCCCAGCAGGTGGCACGGTGCTTCCTGTCACGGCTCGTTAGTTTGATTCTCGGCAGAGTTGACCGGCGAGTCCCTCGGTGGTAATCTCTCTCTCTCTCTCCACCGAGGACGAGGCAGAAGAGCGGGAACAGCCTGCTAGGTACCGCGAGCTGTCCACTCGGCCGTGCAGTCAGCTGCCCGGCCAGACGGAAAACCCGACCGGGAACGAAATAAAATCAAATACACCTCTCTGATATAGACCGGGGGGGGCTGAATTAGAGCAAGATGAGTGATTCATTCACGAGTCCAGAGCTGCTCTGTGTGAAGGTGCCACTGATCTGACCTACAGCTGCTACACGTCACTCCTCAGTCTGACCTGAAGACCCCTCAGAGGTTCAGTCTCGCCTTCACCTGCAGCTCAGATGATTTCAAATAGTCCTGTTTTTATTGTGCTCACACAAGAGTTACACAAAGACTGTTAGGTACCCAGAGCCGACATCAGGTGTCTGGTCAGTCTAGTCGTCAGATAATCGGCAAAACATTTTAAATTGACAAAGAAATTGAACTTCGTGCCAATGTAGGGAGGCAGCATGTATTTGAGGGCCTCACAGGAAGTCATAGGACTCAGGATTGGTCTCTTTATGGCTTTTGACGTTAAATTCTTTGAGCAACAAATCCACCCGTTTGCAGATGAGACCGATCGCTTTCTGTCCCCCGAGATCCGACGAGCTGATCCGCTTTTCCTTCTTTTCTCCTCAACCGCACAACGTTCATTCCCGTGTAGTGTTCTCTGTCTCACTTCCACATTAAATTGCAGATTTCTTCAATAGAAATTGTTAACTTTAGCTTACAGCATGAGCATTGATGGCTCGCAATACCTACCAGAATCCTAACGATACCCATAATAATAAGACACGTGCAGCGTTGTATCTAATGACAACAGCTGCATGTTGCTTTAAGTGTGATGTTTTATGGTGAATGTTGATGTTTTTATATGACTGAAGAAGCTTTAATACCGCCGTTGACAAACCTGCACTTCAGCTGCTTAAGCTGACGTTCATTTCTCACCCTGAATCAATAACTCAAGAGGATGATGTGTGCTTCTAAGTTTCCTTTTGGCTTTACATCTGATATTAATCTGCTGCCAGTGATGGTTTCTAATAAAAAAAAAATAAAAACAGACAAATTACCTATTCTGTGGGAATCAAGGAATGTTGCCTAAGTGGAAACTAGCCATCGCAACCCAACCCAACCCAAGATGGCATCCTTTAATATACAACTATAATGAAATCCTCCAGGAGACTCCTGAGTGTTATCATTAGAAGACATCTTTTAAATGCTGATTGACAAAAGATGAACTCCGACACACCGCATCCCGCTGGCGACAAAAACCCACCAGTGTGATAAAACCCAGACTGCTGGAGCCTGCAGCAGCCGACCCGCGGCCTCCCGCAGCCAGCCGACCCGCGGCCTCCCGCAGCCAGCCGACCCGCGGCCTCCCGCAGCCAGCCGACCCGCGGCCTCCTGCAGCTGATTTGTTTGTCAGCTTCAGTAAATGAATGGTAGACCGAGTCTCCTGCACGCAGCAGCAGAGACATATCAGAGAGTTGGCGGCGGTAAACAGTCGGCTGATCTCCCGCCGCGGGACGGCAGCTGATCCCTGCAAAATGTGGAGGCCGGGCCACCCAGAGCAGACGGTCGGCCTTCCCTGCTCCTCCGAGCGTCACCGAAAAAAACAAACCCCCACTGCTCGGCTGCTCCGGGACGCTCATTAACTCGGAGGGTGACTCAAGTTCACCCCGACAACGCGCTTCACGAGGAGGCTGAGAGGCTGAGCTCAGTGCAGCAGCTGGGACTGAAGACCAGACTGTTGGGGAGGGAGGACAGACTCGAGTATCACAGATCTGTTCCCCTCACGGGACAGAGCGACCTGCTGAAGTGCCACTGAGCAAGAGCAGCAAATGTCATTCAATTTTGTTTCAAAACACAAGCAAACGCATGAAAAATACGAGTCACTTTCATGATTATTTGACTGACAAAATCAATAAACAATTCAGACTTTTTTTTGCATCATATCAAACTAAAGAAAATCTTTTTCTTACTGCAGGATTTGACACACAATCATGACACAAGTCAAGTAAGAAGAAGTTAAGTGAGGCGATGTCTGTCTGAGAGGCTGTCGCGATCTAAAATGTAAAATGTAAAGGCCATAAAGTTACTAAAGCAACAAAAAAACATTTTTGTTGCCTTGCTAGAAAATCCGATGAGATAAAAATACAAGACCGGAGCAAACATGTAAATAACCTAGCTTTTATGTTGGCTATTACAATACATTTTTATAATTTGTGAGGGGCCCAGAGACTAAATAAGAAGTGGACGTAGTCAACGTGACGACACCCATTGGTTTGTGGACTGATGTTTTGAAGCCACATTTCGGCCGTCGCCATCTTGTTTATTTGCAACCAGAAGTGATACGAAAGGGGTGGAGCTAAGTATAATCGAACGCTGAATAGGCGACCAAAATTAATGCAAAATAACTTTCCTGAAGTGAAAATGCACTGTGAAAGGGTTCAAGTTGGAACACAAACAGACAACTCCCAGACCAGACAACGCCATGGAAGAGACCTGTCAATCACTGTGTAGCCCCGCCCTAAAGCATCCCCTGCTTTATGGTCTGTTTGACTCTAAATGGACCATAATGTACTAAATGAACATCATGCTGTATTGAAGAAGACTTGAAACTAGAGATTGAGACCATCAACTCATGTTTACAATGTTTACTGAGGTAATAAATCAAGAGAGAAGTAGAGTCATTTTCTCATAGACTTCTATACAACCAGACTTCTTTTTCAACATTGGCTTCATTTTTCAGACGTGGGGGCCGTGTGAATGTTTGCAGACTGGATTTGGAACCTGTGGCGGTAGTTTGTGGTCTTGGCCACACATAGAATATTTGCCTCTACATTTGGGCCTCTCGTCCACACGTAAACAAATGTTTAGGTCAAGCGTTTGGGAAACAATAACGGCTCCACCTAAATTTGCGAACGCCCTTGAAAGGTGAACAAATAGCCAAATATGTGTCTATAACTATGAATAAATAATTAGACACTACTATGTGTGTTGTTAAGTTACTGCCGCCGCCAAAAGTCAATAAGCTCGGACAGCTGGAATGTTTTTCGTTCCTGTGGATGATGATATTTTGTAAAACAAATGTCGTAGTGAGGAAACCTCCAGAGAATCGTCACCTGACTCAGCAGCCTATAAAACAAACAGTAAACTCTACAGGACTCTCTCCACTGTGAGGAAATCTAAACTCTCTGAAGTCTCGGTTTTCCTCGTTAATTATGAACAGAGGTGAACTCCAAACGCACTCGGCTCAGCGCTGGCTGCCACCTGAAGGTTCATTTGGTCCGACATAAAACCTCCAGCTGCTCACGCTCCAGCGGTTTCACCGACTGAATTAATACAAAATAAAAGTCACACGACTCAGCAGGTGATCTCGGGTTGTTTTTTGTTTTTTTAATCAGGTATGGAGCAGCTTGCGAGCGCAGAGCGGTGGGAGTGTGTCGAGGGAGAGCAGCTCTGCAGCGCTCAGACAACCCCATTTATTAAAACCCATTTAAAAAAAACTCTTCAGCGCCGGTCAGAGAAGAGACCCTGGACACACACTCTTGTTTAAAATGTCTCACATCCGCAGAACATTTACTCCAGGAACATTTAATAAAAAGGAACTTTTCCTCTTTTTTTGTTTGTTGTCTTCTCGTCTCACATGGGGACCGAAGAGCCATCGAAGTGACAGAATTCTCACAAACTCAGTGTTTCCCCATCGGCTTAGTGGGAGTTTTTAGCCTCTTTCAGCACATAGTTTTGGTTTTACTTCACATTTATTGTGTTTAAAATCACAGTTTTTTCTGATAATCCTACTGGAAAAATACTCGCCCAGCACCAACCAGTCTCTCACTGTGTCCGTCTGTCTAACTGGTGAAGAAAGACAAACATCAGCTGCTAAAGAGACGTAAAAGTAGAGTGAATATTGGACCTTTATTTATCTGTTGCACACAAACACCACCCCACTCTAAAAATACACAACTTACTGGTTTTTTAGGGTGAACTGATAACATGTTTTGGGGTTGTTTTTGTTCGGGTGATAACGTGCTCATTAGTGGTGCAACGGATCATAAAAGGTTTGGATCGGATCACGGATCAGAGTCACGGATCGGATCAGGACAAAGTAAAGTAATGAATGGAGCAGATATAACTTTTAGAGATTCCTGATCACGTGCTTTTGCTGTCGATACTAATTGCAGATCATTGATGATCCACATTGCTGTTTTGATTATAGCAGCTGGTCTACTTTTGATGCGTTTATAAAAACAAACAATTCAAATGATAAGGAAATAAAAGATTGCATTTCTATGGATTAAAACAAATCTTGTCATTAGTAGTTTTAATGATGCATTATAATCTGCTTAGAGCTGTGTAAACAGACCATAATTCATCTATTTATGTTGTTCAAACAGCTATAATTAGTCAGGTTTCTCACCAACACTAGATTTTAAGAGATTACATGTGAACACATCACGATGACGTTAGAATATATTTAGCGGTGCTGCCACCGTCCTGTCAGTCTAAACACTGATTGGTTGTTTACAATGTAACATCCTCAGAGATCAGAGACATGAACGCAGATACTTTCAATATTTGACTGAATATTGGA